TGGCTCGCACACGACAAAAGAGGCCAAATTTCTCGTCAAGAAGTCAAACAAAATGGCGATTATGACGTCACAACCACACCAAGAATACGTTTTCATGTAAGTATATAAACACGATTTAATTAATTAATGTTTATAGTTCATAGCACGAGCCTTACCTGTCGTAGTAGCAYTCCCGTAGGGAGGTTGTGTTGCTGTGTTTAAGAAAACACATGAAAAGTAAGAGAAGCTTTAAGTTAATCTAAGAGAACTTTTGTCRAATTTTGTGAACATCCCCCTGAGTCCTTGCAACAATAAACTCCTTCCTAGAGTATTAATGTTCGGTAATAAGGGCGCGGAGTCGTGCCGATAAGATATCGCAACATAGTTTTSATACTTTATGCAACAAAAAAACATTTGTTGTACGCTGAGTGGTAATAGGCCCTTGCAGTACTTCGAAATGCACCTCAATTTCGAGGACATAACAATAGGTTTCTAATTCATATTATATGAGATTGAAATTCTTTTGTTTTGTGCTCCAAATTGAACTCTTTTGACGTCACAAGGAAAGGGGTGTGTCTACAAGCAATGTATTGACTTCACATGCAAGGGGTGTGTCTACAAGCAATGTATTCGCTCTGCAACATTGTTGCGTGGCATGTTGCACAAAAAGCGGACCCTAAACATCCTCATTACTGTGTGGCATATTCTCGTGCGCATATCACGGTAAAACCGATTTACAAATCACAGTAAGGTGACTTACGAGGAAGTGTGCTTGGCCCGGAATCAGTTGTAGGGATAATGCTTGAATTACTACTTGACCACTGTATGGTACTTGTTGGTGTGGGTTTTATGAAAGAACTGGAATCCGCTGTTGTAGTGATGGTTGTGGCTGTGCTGTTGCCATAGTCTACTTCTGCTGTACTTGTTGATGTGGGTTTTATGAAAGAACTGGAATCCGCTGTTGTAGTGATGGTTGTGCTGTTGCCATAGTCTACTTCTGCTGTACTTGTTGGTGTGGGTTTTATGAAAGAACTGGAATCCGCTGTTGTAGTGATGGTTGTGATTGTGCTGTTGCCATAGTCTACTTCTGCTGTACTTGTTGGTGTAGGTTTTACGGAAGAACTGGAATCCACCGTTGTGGTGGTGGTGGGTGTTGTAATATGGTTAGAATACATCGTGCTGGAAGTTGCATTACCAATTGTAGCGTTCTCATACCATCGAACAGTACTTGTTGGCGGAAGAAGTACATTAGTATTTGTTATATTCATTATAATGCTGGAAGAAACTGTGCGACTTGATTCTATTGTACCAATAGCACTATAGACTGGCGTGACTGAAGTGTTAACAGCTTTGACTACGACAAAAAGAAAAGCATTTGTAAGACTGAAAAGCCTTCCAATTAAAGACATTACTTTTTTCAGGCAAATAGAAAACAAGACTAAAAAAAATATTTAATTTGAAGTATTTCTTATATAGTAAAAACAGTAAGCGACGAAAAACTTTTTTTCGCGTGATATTGCATTATATTAGTAGTCTACTTTCGTTTATATTATATAATGTTTCAATTCTTGATATTTTAATTGCTAATTTGTTATTATGTGCCATTTATTTGCCGAATAGCAGTATTTCTTTCTTTCTTTCTTTCTTTCTTTCTTATTCAATTGTGATCTTAAGGTACCGGGGGACCTTCGCGACCGATGTTCACTAAAAACGTCATAGCGCACTAACTATTCAACTGATATGGCTACAAAAGTATATATTTTCGTAATGCTGATTAAACACAGATTTCAGCCATGAGAATTATTTTTAGAACAATCTTATCAGTTTTACAAGAGTGCGAGTTTTATAATTTTCGACCGCTCTTTTTCAAAAAGTTTCCGGAACACGGAAATATTTTTGACTAGGAATCAGTTGACGTCACCGTAAAGAGCACAGTTTAATCTCCARAACGGTATCTCAGAATTTTGATATCTTGTCTCGTTTTAAAGTTATTTCATGATTTATGCGTAAAAGAGGTAAAAATCACGTCAATCAAACAAATATTTCCGCAACAAATGTGTTTATCGAAAATCTGAGACACCGTTTTGGAGATTAAACTGTGCTCTTTACGGTGACGTC